TATCAAGGATCTGCTACATAGATCCCCTTCCAAGTGGATGTCAGTGGTAGCCGGGCACCATCTAGTTCTTCTGGTCTCATAGTCATATAGGCTGCTGTTTCTGCAAGTCTTGACCACTCATCTCTTACCCGTAACAGTTTGCACGGGCAGCCACTTGATACTGGCCTCTTCAAAGCTTCCAGTGCCCACTGGCCTTCCTGGCTCATTCTCCTTCCTGGGGAATGGTTGGCATTGGTCATTCAGACACTTGCAGGGTCATCCGGGGAATGCTCCTTAAACAAACTGTGGTGTTTCTGAAGCCCTTGGAGTCTGCCTTGGGACGGAAGCCAGAACAGCTGCCCGAGCCAGCCCCTGCTGTGTCCTAGAAGATGATCCCGTCCCTTGTTTTCTCTGCCTCCTTTGCGCCAGCCCTGTGTTGGCCATGTGGGGGCGCTCTCCGCTGCTAGCAGAATGAAGGGCTGCCCAGAAGAGCTTGTAAGAACATCTAGGTCAATGTTTTGTTACTTTTTTTCCTTCAGTGTTCTCTCCCCTCCCCTCCCACCCTTGGTAATCAACAAAGAAAGTTTCCTTCCATATATAAACCTTACCTTGACTTTTTGTAAGGACATCTGGCCTCCATATTTTTAAATTCTTAAACAAAGGAGCCCTGTTGACACAGTGCTTAAGTGCTGGGCTGCTAACCGAAAGAATGACAGGTCAAACCTACTAGCTGCTCCCTGAGAGAAAGATAAAATACGGCATGGGTCAGAATGGACTCCACGGCAGTGGGCTGGGTTTGGTTTTTGCTTCTGTGTCAACATTTTGGAATTTTTTTTTAAGAGGAAGGAGCCTGGGGCCTGTTGGTAAATGCCAGGTGCTGGTGTGTTCATTGGAGATGCTCCCTCTGACCCCGACATGGTAAGAGCAGGAACTGTAGGGACTCTTTCAAGTACCTGGGCCTGGCCGCCTCCAGCAGAGAGAAGGCACCAGGAGCTTCTCTTTCTCACCCACAGAACGGGGTGGTGTGTGGAGCCCATTAGGCTTCTGTTGAGACCAACACCAAATCAAACCCAGTGCCGTGGAGTCCATTCTGACCCACAGCGTCCTTAGAGGACAGAGTGGAACTGCCTTACGGGGTTTCCAAGGCTGTCAGTCTTCACAGAAGCAAAACCCAAGCCACACCCACTGCCTAGAGTCCATTCTGACCCCCAGCGCCCCTAGAGGACAGAGTGGAACTGCCCACAGGGTCTCCAAGG